TGTGTGTGTGTGTGTGTGTGTGTGTGTGTGTGTGTGTGTGTGTGTGTGTGTGTGTGTGTGTGTGTGTGTTATATGACCAGAAAATATGTATATAAATACTATACAGGAAAATATGACAACATCAGCTGATACAACACACACCTTAATATTGTATAATAATATTTTCTATATATTCATTGAATCATTTAGCAACAGGTTTTCTGAGGTAGATAAAATTTAACGTCAGAGTCTGCTCTATACATTAGATTAGTGTTTTTATCATAGACTGGAAATAAAGACGGACAACGCATCTCTACTTCCTCCCACTTTCCAGAAATCAACCTTACTATCTCGTACATGAACGCTGCCATCTTGTGGTGATGAAATTATTGCAGTCATGATCGGGGAGTGGAGTCTTGGTATCAAGGTCCCGCCCATACACATTCAACAAATCATAAATCAGTCCCAGCTGTCAATCATGACGTCTCAGGCTGTTTTTACTTCATCAAATAATTAATTAAAACCAAACTTATCAGAAACATGAATAAACATCAGTGTGATAACAACCATACCTGAAGAGACAGAGACCATCTACGAGAAACATTTATTTAATGTTTACTTTGTTTTTTAGTGTCCCACCCACTAACACGGAGGAGGTGAGGTTTATGACTTGTACTGCAGACAACCACCAGGGGGCTGTTTGAGACGCAACAAATTTAATAAACGGTAAATTAAAGATTCCAGAGGTGAGATCCCGTTGACTTCGTCCACATTTTCTGATTTTGCGAAAACGTCATCCCATGATAATTTCCCAGAACGCACAGAGGGAGGTGAGGTCGAGGCGACGGAACACTTTGATTGTGTTCATCTCTAAAGTACGTGTCACTCTGTGTTGAATGCACTGCTGCAGAGTGAGTATGTGCAAAACGCATCACAAAGCTTCATTATGAACAATTACCAGCTCGTAAAAAACCTTATATACAGTCTTTGGTAAAAACATTGTTCCTGTGCAAGTGGAACGCAAACAAAGCAGGTTATTTTGGTGTGATGTCATCCCGAGGTCTGAGGTGTAATCATGGGTGTAATGGAACACTGCATTTACATATTGCATTATTTTTTATTACATGTGTTAACATATGTTGACATCTTCATCTGGAGTCCTGGCTCATTCAGACATTCTTTTTAAAAAACTTTATTCTGGTAATATTGCGAGTCTTCTTTCCAACGTGTCCCTCGTGCTCTGCCGTAGTCCGACCAGTCGGTCCCGCCCTCACGTCTATAAATTCAGGACTCGTCTCGTCGCTCTCGCTCGCCCAGCTCACACAGTGTCCACATGTCCCGCTGTCCCTGAACGCAGCACGGTCAGTCCGCAGTCCTCTTGACTTTGATCAGCGAAGAGAAGCTGCGAGTCCCGGGGACAACCGGGAGCTGACCCGGTAACTGACCCGGTAACAACCGGGAACTGACCCGCGTACACCGCCGAGTTTGAAGTGACGGTGCCCCGGAGAGGGAGGGATTTACTGCGGGGAACCGACGAGGAGAGCGGGAGCAGAGGAGCAGAGGAGCCGCTGTCTGGGACCAGGAGGTGAGGACACGTTGGATTTCTGTCCATTCCGCTGATGGTGGTTTACAGGGACACGGTGTCCCGCCAAGAGGACACGGTCCCCGTTTGTCCGCTGTTCTTAACACGTACCGACGTGTGCGTCCGATTCAGTTCAGGGTGTTTGACTGTCCCTCACTCTCTCTCAATGTCCCTCACTGTCTCTCACTGTCTCTCACTGTCCCTCACTCTTTAACTGTCCCTCACTCTCTCTCAATGTCC